TACATGTATCAGCAAATACACATACATGTACCCACATAGACACTCAAAGTGGCAATATCTTCAACAGTACACATGCATACTGTACTTCAATGACTAAATATGGCAAAATTTTATCACTTTCTGTGGTATTTGCACTTTACAGGGGCCATCCATTCATTTCAATCATTGTTCAAGTGCACAAAGTCAAAGTCCTTCATCCTAGAGCAAAAAACTTGCAATGAAAACATTAGGACTTTTGTGCTAAGCATTGACTTTTAGCTTTTTAAATAACATGACATTGAGAAAAAATAGGTGGTCCCTTAGAGAAATGGTGCTAGCTTTTCACTATGTTATTTACATACATGGTTAACAAGGCAGCAAATTGCAATGACAGCTGCTGTCTTTTACAGCATGATGCAAGTTTGATTCTGTAGGCAATCACATGTGTATAATAAGGAAAGACAAAGTTCAGAATATAAGACATTTTGAATGTTAATCCACCTGTCTAGTCTCAATCTTGCAACTACATATATGATGTGGGCTAAATCAGCTTGCACTGAAGCATATTTACAGCTGATTACTGCCCCAAAGTGAATAGACAGGTGAGCACATGTACTTACGTCATTGAACCACTAGGATCCATACCAACAAATGCCCTCTCCATATACATCAATCTGTGGTTCACCATTGTCATGGTAATAGAAGACTCCATCATGGATGGATTTCTCATCATGCTTTGCATCTCCGCAGTAGCAGCCATGAAATCTGATACAGCCACTTGCAAATTATCTATAAAAGGGGCAACATGAACAAAAATGTTTTACATTTTATGTCGAGAATGTACAGTCTGTAGTAATGATCTTACATTACTACAGACTATCTTGCTTGTGGGGAAGTTACCAGAGGAAGTGTACATGGCTCTACAGTGACTGTTCCCAGGTAATCTCAATAGGTTGCCAAATAAAGCTACACCATACATGAACTGTCCATTGAAACTGCTTTCAAATATCTATTTAAGAAGTACTTTAAATTGAGCTACATTCAATTGAGTGTATTAGCCGGGTATAACAGCTTTCCAAGATATACCAACAAGAAGCACATGTCTAGAATTAATGAACAAAAGCACAAAACAAAACACCACCCAATCAAACAGATTACTGCTATTTGTGATGCATCCTCTAACATAAAACATAAGACACAAGAAGTGGACATGAGCAATAGGACTGTGCCAAATATACCGGTATGAATATTATTTTCTGAATTTGAATGCAAAATTCACGAGAAGGAAGGGAGAATTTTCTATTGTTTTAAATGAGAAAAATTGCACTATGGAGGCTTGTTTCAAGTAGATTCACATAAAAAGCGACAGAAATATTATGACTCAAAAAGTTAATTATTCATTGAAAAATTAAAAAGGAACTGAAACTTTTAACAGGGCAAGATGTCTTGTTCATTTCTTAAATCTTGCTAAATCGTGGCTGGAGATACTCCCACATGTGAGAAGCTATTATAGTGATAAGGTAGGTGTTGGTCATCATTTATTACCTAATGAAGTGGTAATTAAGTAATAAATGATGACCAACAGCTACCTTAGCGTGCTAGTTAGGGCTGAGCAATTCCAATAATTCGCTATTTGAATATTCAACCTTCAATTATATCAAATATTCAGTCTTACAGACCAGCAGATTATTGATGATTGAGCCGTATACAAATCAGTTGCAATAACACACAATTACACATTATCAGTTTGGTGTGTTACTCACCCATTGTCATATTGCTGACAGATAACATGTCCCCCATTTTGGAATCAAAACTGTCCACATATCCAACTAACATCTCTGCTACAGCACCACTATCAAATGGTATCATGTCACTATCAGCCAGCATAAGCACAGTCTGTGTAGCCAGTTGGGCCACAGACTTGTGCATGGACTTGGTGGTAGGTGAACCAGTAGAATTCTGGAGGTGACACAAATATCAATACAGGTGTACATGCACTGTAAGTATAAAAATTGCGTAATTCACTCTCCGTATTAAATCAATGTGTACAAACATTCAAAATGTCAATTGTCCTGAACTAGAAGAGTTATGTTTGACTCTCCTCCCTTTGCACAATGACCCATGATGCCTATTTCCCTACCTCAGTTTTACTTCAATGGGATTGGTACAGTGTAGGTCAAGTATATGTACATTTTCGTCATTTTTTGGTGCTTCAACCTCGACTTTTTCCATTTGCGCTGTAAAAGCTATACAAACTTGGCACAAACATGATAAAAACTTGCTCAAATTAATGGAAAAAAATATTTACATCCAATAATTCGAAAAAAGTCATGGAGAAATCAAGTTGTGTACACCAGTACAAGCATGCAAAGCACGAGTCACATCAAGAAACTGGCCAACAATGTCTGTGTATCGCACAGTACGTGTGCATGAGGCATTTATGGGGTGGGCAATGAGCCTCATGTTGCCCCAGGAAATTTTGCGCATCTGGTTTACTTCAACTATGAGTGAAACAACCTCAAAATAAATTCAGGAGTCTGGAAAATACATAGACAAGAGATCTAGTTCTATGAATTCATTTGCAGGAATTTCTTGCTCTATTGATATTTTCAAAATGTTTAACCAAATACCAGTGTACCTGTAGAGTAACGACTATTTGGCCAGGATGCATAGACTGTTTTGCCACATTGCCATCATGCCTTCTTTGGGTATGGCAGACTGCAGCAGGAACCAGTGCAGCATTGCTTCACTGCATTAAGCATGTACTGCGAAGGGAACTTGTGAAGTTTCTTCTCAAAAATTGCAAATGTAAGTGACAACCATTTAAATACAAGCATCTTTGATGTAAAAAAAGTTGAGAGGCATTTTGTAATGAAAGAAAAGACAATAGGATTTATTCTGATTATTTTTTCAATTCTATTTATGTTTATCTTGCCAATAAAAAATTGAGGGTCTCTGCAGAAAGTTACAGTCAAGTTGGGAATCCAGCAGCAGAGCTTTTTTATGCCTCATACAAATTTATTCTCACTGCTACACTTATTGCCAGTTACTATTTGTTTTCTGTTTTTACAAAGCTTGCATGCAAGGATCAATGCACCAGTCAATACGCAAGAGTAGTAAACTGTTCCTTAGTTAACCCAGAAACAGTTTACTACGTGTGTTCTTTACGGCTCTATCATGAAAGTGCTCATGTGGAAGCACTGCCCTAGACACACATAAAAGATGGCAGTAAGCAATGATCAGCATTTTCAATGATGCCTGATACTGTAATAGCACCTGAATGTCTCAGGTATGGTGAAACATAGAACATGGTTTATATAGGGTGGATAGTCGATAATAGCCACCCAACAGTAATAGACTATCCACCTGTAAGCCATGTTATATTTGTATACCTATAGCACCCTGGTTTTATACATTTCAAACATTTCAAGCCCTTTAATGCTCTCAAAAGTCCACCACAAATCAATCACAAGATATCTAATATCCAAGTCACAAACTGTTCATATGAAAGGAAACAAAGGCATTCTTTTAAACCCGTAATAACTTAAAACTGACACGAGATTGGCATGACTTCAACGATGCATCCTAATTATGTGGTGGTTGTCATGGTAACATTTTAAGCAGACATTTCAGAAAAATTGGTGCCACATTTATGTCCAACATTAACAGAAGCCACCAGTGACAAGTCTGTGCACAACTACATGGAATAGGTATGAATGGGGGATCGCTGCTTTCCGTATGAAAATAGTGTGCAGTACAAGTACATGTACTCTATGTACATGTACACGTCTTGCATTTCTAATAAAGGCAGTATTCAAGTAGTATTTCAGGTAAATTCCCATCTGCTATACATGTAGGTTGCTCTACATGTAGCACATGCAACCATTCCCACTCATGTACATGTATGTGTACATGTATGTAGGTATAAATTATTCACAGGAACATTAGGGGAGCATTCAGCACTACGGTATATTCAACCAACGACTGCTGTGGTGTGGGTTATGATGTATACATAATGTGAGGGGCACTATGCATACCCAAGGGTGTTTAAAATGTCATACCCCACATCACAGCAGCAAACAATTTTGTCATAACTGTCTTGATGTTTTCACTAGTTTTTCTGATGGAAATTAGAGGTGACAAAGGAATCTTGGAACATTAGCAGTCCCTGCATTATCTTGTACACTGTGGGGGCATGCATGTGTCATACAATGCTGGCTGATGTGCTTTTAACGGTGGGTGTCACATGCAATTGTCACATGATTGTTAAGGCCCAATGAAAAAAAAATGATTGAGACAGAGGTGTGGGAACACTTTACCAGATCTGCATTTGATGTCAGCATTGCTAATGTTGGCAATAATGCTTGCAATCCTTTTGGCGACATCTACAACATATTGCTTGGAAATGATGGCAGTGTTTTGCTTGATGAGAATTCATCCATCCTAGCAGCAGTAACTCTAATAGAATGCTACATAGTTTCAGAGTTTTGGCTTTCATCTACATGTAGACTAGCTTCTCCAAGTTTGGTCATGGAAATACATGTAATAAGAAAACATGAAGAAAGTAAGCTATAAAGATTGGGGGGTGTCTGATTGCCTTGGCTTTCCTTTGCCTTATTTTTTTTTCTTATTCAAAACTTGGCACCAGCAAAATTACTGCCTCTCTACAGCTTTCTCTTTCCAAAGTTGCACTGCAAACTACAAAAAATGAAAAACAACAATAGGGCAAAATGGCTTCTTGTATTTCAGAAATCCTTTTGAAAATGATGCTAGCATTAAAATAGAACTTTAAGTCAAAAGAAACTCACAGCATATAGGGTTAATACAGGACATACAAACCTCTTTCATGACACCACGAGTAGCATACAGACGAACAGATGGTATACCAATCATATGAGAGAATGCTACATGATCACCCACTCCACTCAGCATAGCTGGCTGTATGACTTGAGTCAGTTCCAACTGAGAATAAATACAAGAAATGTAGCATAATCAATCTACAAGTACATGTACCTGCCTGTAACTTAGCAATCTTTTGTGGACTCTATCATGTACATCAATCATGAATATAACAATGTCTAGAGTGAAAGCTGATGGAAACAGTATTATTTGGGCCAAATTACTAACCATGTCAGCTGCTTCCATAATGAGCCCTTTGAGGAGTGGTGAAGTCTGAGCTACAACCATACTGTCATGTGCCATCACAGTATCCAGATCTATGTAAGACACTGCTCTCTCACTTAATATACTTCGATGTTCCTCTACCCATTCCATAGAGCCAGCATGACCATACTCTGCTCCTCCCCACATCCCTAACACCACACTACGTTGAGGCTGCCAGCCTGCAGACATCATCTGACTCATTACTGTTGCTGTCTCCATAAACATTGACATGGACCCAGCATCAGCTGTCCTGGAAGTCATTCCACCCATACTGGACATCATACTTGCAAAATGACCACCAAGAATAATGTACTCATCTGTTGGAAAACAAATGACACAAATAATTGGCAGGTTTCTCAAGTCAACAAGGTTTAGAGTACTTTTACTTTGGTATCCACGTAATACAAAAGTGGATGAAATCTAAACATACAGTATACATGACAGTATCATAAATACAAGTTTGGAGATCAATCCTGAACTAGGGCCATACATGTGTGTCTCTGCAGGTGCCTTGGGACTGAAAACGGACCGAATGGAAGACGAGAGGCATTGGGGATAATCAGCTCAGTTTATGTCTTGTACGTGTATCAAACAGTTCAAGAAAACTCTTTGCAGTTTTCCTTTATTCCCTGAGTACCTCACAAAATTTAGGAAGGTGAGGTGCATGAGGTTTGTATTGTCAGAATTGTACACAATATACCGGTACATATATTTCAGGCAATCAGGTGAAGGAAAAACTAATCAATGAACTCCACACAGAACATCAGTATGTGCCTCAAGTACATGTACCACATGTACACAATCTCCTACTATTGCCATCTCTCCCCCTACCCCAATTTTAGAATAATGTACAGGTGCCTTGGGCATGTATATGTCAAGCTGAATGTCAATATCTACTGTGATAATAGACACCTCAGTGAATAATGGTGGCAAGCAATTACACTGAGTGTTTGGGAGAACACATTCATGTTTAGAATCATATCATTGACACCGTACTGCCAGCAAGCAATTTACTAAGAGAATAAAACTGTAATGGATACGGGAATAAAGAATGCTAAGCACTATTTCCTCTAACTTAAGAACAAGTTTCTGAGATGATTTAAACACCAGGAAAGTTAGCAAAGTACAGTACATACATGTACATGTACACATTGAAAAGGCTAGCTCCTCTAATCGTGTTTGCAGCTGCTTCAAAATGTTGTATTTACCTGGCATTTGCATTCCTGTGATGGTCACTACAACATCATGTACTTCCTGTTGTTGCTGCATGTTACTCAAATCAAGCTGTACTGTCCATGTAGGCCTCTCTGTAATTACATAAACCATTTCAATATGACTGCTTCTAACATCTCACCCACATATTCTGTATCTTGATTGGCCTAGAGTTAATCATATGACATTGCTATTATTACTATCCTGCTAAATTTACAGGGCAAAAAGAACTATACCACTAGCAATCAGAGTACATTACCCATAACAATCAAAGAACTTGATGAATGACAACTGGAACTGTGTGTAAGTGTGTATTCCAGCATGCTAGCATTACACAGCTACATGTAGGTTCAAACACTTCATGAAGTAGTTTGGAAAAGGGCTGGTGAATTTTAAACAATTATTTCATTCAAAAAGATGTACTTTCTATAATATATTGAAATCAATTACATGTAAACAATTCAAAATCTAGCAGAATTTGTGGGAGTGGTGTTATACTGACTGCTTTATCTCAAGGTGTAGTATAACTACCGTACTCTTGTATTTTCCCGTTGGGATAGCAGAATGCTCTCTGGTTCACCTCAGGGATGCTGGTTTTATTACATCACTATAACCAGGCAATATATGTATCCTCCACTGTACATTATCATTCCATTCTTTGGTGCATTCATAGAATTTCAAAATTTTAAGAATTCTTTCATATTAAATGAAAGCTTTGTCACTTAAATATGTTTTTTTATATGGTAGCTGCAAATTTTGGACTTATTTTTGTAAGCAGCTCATGCAACTGCACTATGACATTTCTCTTGATCCAACTCAATATGTCAAACATGTACAGTATCATCCAAAATTGACTTTGTATTTTCTTGCTCATGATGGCGCACCTTTGTAAAAAAGAAATGTACTGATCACTGATTAATTCTAAATGCATCTTTCAAGATAAATTTGTTTGCATATTCAATAGATGGGATACCCTCGTTTCACACCTAAGACTTATAATGTATGTGTGTACATGTGAATGCCCTCAGAATCTATCCCTGACTTGACAAGGCAGCATACATTGTACAATAACATCTTGTTAACTTGAACCTCAGGGCAATGGATATAATTTCAACTTTTCCGAAGCAAACCAAACTTCGCAGTCATATAATAAACATACACACACTGTACATACATGTAAATGAAACAAAGTTGGTCCATAGGGGCAACTTTTTTTGGGTGGGGGTTGTTTCCTTCTTTTGTGAATTCAGTCTTAAAATACTACATAGTTTTGCTCACAAATCATTGTTTTACTGAGATTTTATATTCCTACACCTAAAACTTCTTTTCTATTGATAAACTATAAACAATTTAAATGTTCTTTCATGTGGCAAATGTTTGTGTTATGTGGTCTATAGTCTTCTACATGTTCACAGTGCAATGCGTAATGCATACTCAAGGTTGTTTTCTTTTGGGTTTTTAGTGTGGTCACATGACATTTCTTTATGCAATCACATGACCAATGCAGCCCTGCCTACATGTACACCTATGTGCCGCATACTATTGGGCCAGAATTTGTTATTGTTACAGATTGATTTATGCAGCCTGGTACAAGACTGGTCCCGCAGTGTGAACAGCTAGAGTTCGCTTTGCAGTGACAACCTGTAACCTAGTCTCACATTGGAAGCATTTTGGCAGTACTTTTTTGAAGTCAGTGTCACAAGAACTTCGAGGTAAGTGGATGTAGTGGTGTGGGCATTTTGAGTTATGGCGCCTTCTTTCGATATTAATAACATGTCTAGGAACAGTACAAGCCTATGACTACAGATACATGTCTTACTTGTCTTCCTGCGACCCATGTGGTATGTTACATTGAAACCCCCTTGCCAATCTAGTGGTGCCTCTCTTCCTGTCATGTTTGAAAGTAGACTCACTGCTAGCTGGGTTGACACTGGTTGGACAGGAATACTGGGAAGCTTAGCTTTGTCCATTGGCATGCGACGTATTCCATCTGGTGAAATAAAAACTCTCAATAATAAGATCCCAATACATCTGCAACTACAGTATGCAACATACATGTATGTGGGGATTGTGTGCCACGTGTACATGTACTTGACACTCTTTTACCACATTGAAGCTAAATTATATGTTCGTAATAATACAATGGGCTTACAGGAGTTATGATTAATACTAACTAAATAATGTGTAAATATCAAATTATCATTATTACTATTAGTATTATGATATATTTCTGGTAATGGCACCAAGGATTCCTCAAAAGCACCCTAGGCACTCTACGCTCGCAAGCCTGAAGAAACCTGCAGAGAGGAGACAGTGAGCAGCAGTTACAGTTTTAGGGGTGGGAGGAAAACCCCAAAGGAATTTTCTGGGTAAAACCTACGAAATCAGGTAGGGACTGAAAACCCAATCCACATGTGGACCAGGCCAGGATTTGAACCCGGGCCGCAGAGGTGGAAGGCGAGGAAAGAACCACTACGCCAACCTAACATGTACCATAATTTTCGGAATATAGGCCGCATGCAATATAAGCCCACAACGCAAAAATCTGCAAATTAAGATTTAAAGTCAACATACTAGCTGCACCGATGTGTAAGACACACCGCTGTGCTGACATTGTCATGTACACGCAAGTCATCGTATGTACTGTATTGTTGAAACACTGATAGGCCTACATGTAGAGTACATGTATTATGTGGCACACTCCAACATTCACTTAACTTATTGTGCTGCCAAAGTTCTTTGTTGAAAAACTTCACATCCACTTGGTTAAATACTAATACTATTGCGTGTATGGTCCAGTTTCAGTGTCATGGATTTTTGTCTGAAATTCAAACATGCCAGTGTCCACAAATTGGGCCAGAATTCAGCTGAGTCACCTGGCGCCCTTGAACATATCTCAGAAAATCCCACAAAAACATTTCAGAAGTTCTTTAAAATTGATAAATTCTAGTACATGTACATCATTATTACCTCCACTCGCATACCCAAATAAGAAAATGGTTAAAAAAATTATTTTGGGGTACATTCTAAAAGATTTCATGTTGCGCTTCGGAAAAGATCGGAAAATTGGGCCACATAGAATTTCATCAGAACTTTGTAGTGAGTATATGAAATCAACATTTATGAATTACCAATAGAATATAAGGAGTTTGATTACATTTTACCTTTTGTGAAATCTGAGGTAAAATATCGTTCCAATAATACACTAACGTTGGAGGCCAAAATTCAAAGTGCCCAAAGTTAACCACTTCCTGCCGGGGACTCCGGAATCAGAGATGTATGCTTTATATGCATGGCCAGGGTCTCCAAACTCGGTCAAAGGAACAGGGCCCCGTAACAAAACACCATACTCCGAACAAAAGACCAGGCTGCTGAGCATTATCAACATTTTTCACTCTCAAAAGTGGTGATAATCCAGCCTTGTTTTGAAACTGTATACCAGGGTTTGGGGCATTTAGAGCAAGCGGATTACCACCGGGGACAAAAGCGCTCCACCACTGCAGCGATGAGCCACAGAGCACCGCTGCATGCTAATCTGGCCCTTATTGAAAAGAGCTCAGCGGCACACTGTGGCAGGTTCGTGAACAAAAGAAAGTTAGATAACACCGCACAGTCTGGGCTCTTTTTACAAGGATGCAGGCCTGACTGAAATACTCAGGCATCAATGAAGGTCACCTGTCAACTTAGAGCAATGCCTAAAGATTACTTCGTGCGGCTATAAACGTCAGTTAAATGAAATGATGAATTTTTGAAGAATTTTGAAAACGGAAAAAATGATAATTATGCCGGCCCAGCATCATCAACATTGATAAATACCCCGGCGCTGAGTGGTTAAGGGTCCGAGCCACTTTCAGGTACGCAATCTTCAAATATGAGTAGTGCACTAACGAGCGTTATTATTAAACCTAAACTTTCATGAGTCCTTAAAATTACCAATTTTGGCGGGCTAGATTAGTGTCCTTGCTGGGTGGGCCACATGCAGTTTTTTTTAACAGTCCCAAAATGACCAGTGAAATAATAAACAACATTGGATTACACAGCCATGAAAGCAAAAATGAACAGATGCACCATACGACTTGTGCGGTGTGAACGGTTCTTCTAGTTCATTTACAAGTCTATTTAGTCTCTCTGGACTGGTTTCCTTCATTTCCAACAAGTGAGTCGAGCCAATGTAAACAGCAACCAACGAATACGACTGCCTTGCACTTGGAGTGCCGTACATCTTGCACGCATGGCCAGCTGGCCAGCTGCCCGCTTGTGCTACGCTGCGCCAAGACATGGCACAGCGTTTAGTGACTGATTTCATTCTGAAAATGTTGCCATATAAGCTGCCCCAGAGTATAAGGTGCAGGACATTTTCAGCGTGAGAATCAACGTATAAACCGCAGCTTATAACCTGAAAATTACGGTACAAGTTAGTAAAACAGATGGGCACCATGTAAATATCTACACACAATGTAAGACATCATACCTCAATGGAAGACTGGGTGATATTTGTATAAATATAACATGGCTTGAGGGGGGAAACACCCTGGTTTGGGGTACATTGGAAATGAACAAACTACTCCGAGTTCTACAGGCAAAGCCAAAGGAACTACAGTGCAGTTTGTCAACTTCCAATGCTGAGGGGATCTAACATCCACCCTCAACAGATCATGTTATATTGGTGCTACATGTACCTAACATGTATACCTCACACAGCTTCAGTTGCCCTTACAATGTCAGGCATAACTGAAACTGCTAATCAACATGTGGTGCTGTCTTCTCATATGTGGCTAAGGAATGCTTGCGCATGTGTACCTCATCCAGGTGACAATTCCACAATAGCTTCATAAAGCACACACAGAACCCTAAGTTAGCTGGTTGACAGTTTTCTATGTTTGTGCATGGATAGTAAAAAAGGGACTGGCATGTGATGAAGGACCAGTGGGAATTCTGCTCTTGGCCATGATTACATGTACATGTATGTACATGTATGAGGTACAATGTATGGTCAAGCATTTCTTCAACTCCTTACTGTTTGATATTTTTTCTAGTACGTAATCTTGTTACCTACCCATGGCGGGGCAACCTGGTGTTAGTGGATCACCCATTATACCAGTCATTCCAACTAAACGCTCTGTGCCCATCATCATTATAACATCCATGTCAGCTGGGTCTGTGAACAGTAGTAAGCCTTTCATGCCACCTTCTTCAACATTCCTAACCTAACAAAAAATCAAATAAAGGCAATTCATATTACAGAGATGCCACTAGCCTGGGCCAAAAATATCTGAAAATCAACATATCCACAGCGCTTCGCACGGTGTTGGTTTTATAAGTATTAATGCATGGGTCTGGCTGCATGTACATAACGTGCATCTTCATCATGTAGTCACCAATAAAAACAAAAAAGTTCTTTCTTGATCGTCACTGGTCGATCACAGAAATGAGTTGCAGCCTCCATGTAGGCCAGCCTGCTGTTTTTTACTCAAAAAGATAAATAAGTTTTTTTTGTTTTGTTTTTTTTTAGTTTGCCTGATCAGGCAGGCCACGTCATAGATTTGCTTGATCAAATTGGATCAATACTTACCAAAGATTTATTTAACTAAGGCCTACCGCATACATCATGCAGTCTTTTATTAGGCCAAAAAAATACATGCAATGTTGTTGTGCTGTGCATGCCTCTCAAAAATTGGATCGGTGGGTCGGAACATCTTTTTTTGTTTGGGGCAACTTTGTGCGAATGGAATGGCATCAGTAGGGAGGAAATCTTCCAAAAGTATCTCAAAAAGTGAAGAACACTTGTATTAATCTATGTAAAAACTTCTACATACGGCAATTCACAAGAAAATTATGAACAATTCAGGCACGTTCATGCATCGCACATGAGGAATGAGCATGCATCGTGCTAGTACGTGTTAAAGGTCAATATTTCAACATATTTCCAGTCACTGACGACACCACTCAACCTTCGTATTTCGCGCCACAATATGACTGACGTAAGCACTCTATACTGACGACTGCGCTCAAGATTAAGTACCCAGTCGCACGGCCCAGGATACATGCCCATCACAGATTTGCTTCCACTCTTTTCTTCTTTATTTAATTCTGTCATTGTTAAAAACATTGAAGGGGGAAATGTAAAAAAATCGGATTAGGGGGAAAAAATACCAAAAAGTCGGATTTCCGATTAAAATCAGAAAAGTGGCATCTCTGATATTACTAAAACACATACAATATACATGTATGGTAAACCACATGGGATAACAGTACTTGCGAGCGTCTGTGTAGCCTAGTGAATGCTGACACTGGCCACAATGGGTATGAGTATTGTTTAGTGTCTTTTTAATTCTGACGGTCTTTAGCCCTGAACTCAACAAACTTAAACCCTTTCTTATCTATATGTATATAATAATTTCAAGCATACATTTACCACGAACTGCCTGACACTGATGTAACGATGCACAGAAATAAAGCTTACCCACACTAACACACACAATCAGGTTTTACTATACAGGGATACCAGTAATCAGTTCTCAGTCAAGGGCTGGAAAGTTTTGAAAGTAGGTAAAGTAGGCGTAAAAGTACCGGACAATATGGGTGAAATACATGCACATGAAATACATCTGACTAAAAACAGCTAAACACAATGAACGCCAATGGCTTAAAACATCTACATGTACCTGTATATTGTAAGAGACTTGCCCCCTTTTTCTGATGAACTACGTGTACATAAATTTTACTTTTGGAAGACTCTGGCCTTTATTTTGCTTGCAAGCAAAAGTGTAAATGCCCGCAATGGTTTTCTTGTGTGGCTAGCGATGGCTTACCGACAAAAGAATTGTTATCAGGTAGCACACGATCATGCACTGTGTTTAAACTGATCTTCTGTGAAGCATGCATGTACAAGTACATGTACATGTATGTAACACTAGTCCAAAACGAAACATCAATTTTATGATTCCAGCAAGTGTCAGTTGAGCTTATCTTTCACACTTCCAGTAATTAATTTTACATATTCATTACTTTCATCTTCCATGACTTTGACATGTTAAGAATTCACAACTTGACACAATGTCCAAATGTGACATGTGGAACAATGCCACGTGTTCTTATTCCATCATGTTGTGTACATGCTGCATGCACACGTTTGTGATCGTTGGAACCATTTGATGTACATGTACCGGTATGGGTATAACTGGTTCCCTACTTTGGCTATCTGAAATGAACATGAGTTTTGTAAAAACCGATGAAGCCAGCAGCTCATCACAAACTGAATTTCTGCATACATACATGTACAGTGTACATGTATTTCAAAGGACACCGCCTGTGCATTGCCCTGCACCATAATGTATGTAAATCAAACCACTATTTTACGTGAACTACCGTACAGTACACTGGAGTTTGGAAAGCGTTGTATCTTTTGGAAGTTTTAGGTGCGGTATTAAAGTTCCCATGTTGCAAATATCATTGGTCTTGCCTGCATTTCGCACTACCAATACCATGCCATATTAAAGCCGAACATCTGAACTGACCAGTTTGGTTTGGTTTGGTTCAAAAGTGCCATGTTTGATGATTTTTGGTTCAGTTCTGCGGTTCAGCTGCAGTATTACATGTACATAAAAACAGTCTAAAAGGCAAAGTAGATTTGAAAATGTTTAGTTTGGAAAGATAATAGTATGCTTACTTGGTCTGCTACCATCATGGTCCCCTGTCGAGCAATAGCTATCTTACCAGACAGATCAATGTTGCTTTCAGTCAATAGCAGCAGATCACCCTGACTAGCATAATGCACATAGACTAGCTCTCCCTAGAAATAAACAACAAAGTATCAAGCAATACCCTTGATAAACATGCTACATGTAAAAACATTTAACAAGATATCATTTTAAGAGTTTGACACTTCAGAACTTTTTTCTTTTGCTGGATGATGAACAGCTTAGTCTTATCAGGATTTATGCATGTATTCTATGAAATAATGAATGTTTCACACTAAAGCAATGTACATGTAAGAACGTTTCATATGTCACCTACCATACCACACAGGTAGCACTCATAAACATTCATTATTTTGTTGGACATGAAAACATTTTATATATATTTCACTGATGATATTACACACATTTGTGCTATGAGCATCGCCATGTTTAACAACAGTTATAGCCAGCTATACTTGGCCACCTGTGACTGTGATCACCTGCATACAGTCTTTTTTCCCAGCTAGATATACATGTATGTACATGCACAGGGCTGATCAACACATGACTTTTAGTTGTTGACAAGCAGTTTGGCAATAGGAGTGAAGTAACACGAGGTAGAGCCCAAGCCTGGGCTAGGAAAAGTTTGCTGCTGAGAACATACTGTACTTGTAAGGTGCACAAGTGCATGTATGTACGACGTGTGGTGCAACACACGTCACATGACAGCACTGAATGCAGAGATTGGTGCTGCTAAAGCTCAGTGGAGCTGGGGCCAACATGATTGTTCTGAACTGAAAAATTTCAAAATTACCCAAAATCCCTGTTGTGAATCAAATGAGTAATACGTACAAAATGTCATGTTTTGTCCAACATGATTGTTCTGAACTGAAAAATTTCAAAATTACCCAAAATCCCTGTTGTGAATCAAATGAGTAATACGTACAAAATGTCATGTTTTGTCCACCTGATTTCAAGAAGGAAAATTAAACAGGATTTTAACGAATGTTCCAGGTAGATTTGTCCAAGATAAGCAAAAATCAAACTTACGTGATCCGATTTAAGTGTACGTGTACACGTTGCTTTATTTTAAGAACATACAAATTCAAATGTTCCAAGTGATTTTATCTGAGGTAAGTGAAAGTCCGACTTACATGTAAACAAATCAGACTTACCCAAGGTTTAGTATATTTTCAAATGAAGATGTGCAATAACCCTTATGTTATAACATAAAATGCCTGCAACCATGGGCAAAGAGCACGATAATGTTTATTGTTCCAACCAATGAGGATATTGTCACATACCTGCACTTGACCAGAGCCTGAGAATGGCATGTACATGACTGTAGGTGGGTTGTTGGTAGAATCGGATTCATACTGCACCGAACCTACTGCTCTCTTTGCATCGTTGCTAGGTTTCCTTCCATCACCGGTATCCTTCTCATTTCCGTACAGAGTCTCTGAGTATAAAACTTGCCCATCATGGTCAATGGTTTGCAATGTACTCATATGTGACATGTCAGGGTGTGATGTTAGGACATTATAAGATGACACACGCACATTGGTGAAGCCCAAGTCTCTTAACTGTTGTGCCATCACATTAGACATGCTCTGGCTACATGGTATTCCACTTACACACTGGTGTTGGCTGAAAATGCTGTCAACAAAGGGGAAAAACAGAGAAAACAATTCTTAATTCACAATTTGACAAGTTTATACGCCAGCTTTAAAAGCAAGGTGTAAATTTTGCAAACACTACATTGTAACATACATGTATGTGTATGATGTTCACAGATGTTGACAGAACTTGTATTGTTTTGACTTCATGTTTTCAGGTTTAAAGATACTGGGGAATTCAGAGAAAGAAAAACATCAAGTCACAATTGGGGTCAATTAGTAAAATGTTTTGGTGGTTCTGTTGTCTGCCAAAGGGCACTAAACTTCACACACAAATGTACAGGTACATGAAACAGCCATGAAAAACACAATCAAAACTGGGAAACAAGCTGATCATTCTTCAAAAAGTGTGCAGACAGGGTTAGAATATCTAGAGTGTCAGTTTGGGGAATTAGAAATGATACAATGGAACTTGGTGTATGTGGTACCAAATGTCATCGGCAGTTCTTCAGTTGAGCTCAAAAGTTAAAATACATGTAAATTGCATGCTTGAACTGAAAGTATTTTTAATTACAAATTTTAAATCTTTGTTAGTCTTGGTGCAATTCCTTTTCTGTTTGCATCATTAGTTATATGGAACAAATGCATAATCACCCTTAAAGCAGTACCTGGCACACAGCTAACTGCATGCAGGTACATACATGTACAGTACATGTAGGCCTACTTAACTGTGAATGCCCAACAAAAAGTGACAGAAACTTCCTGTGTACACTGTGTACATATGCACATGCAGGTTGAGCAGGTTTAATGAGAAATTGAACATACTCAAATTAACCTTGGTAGAGAACATTTTAAAGAAATCGGACTGCGCAGAAAAAAACATTGTTTAAAGCTTCAAAGAATAGCCAAATGTCACATGATTCAAACACAAAGTTTGTTTCTGTGTTGATACATGTACATGTAATTTCGAACTGAATTTCCAAACATACATGTTCATTGTACATGTATAAGTCCCATAGCATTTTTGCCCCCCAATAGACTGTACATGTACATGTAAGTATACAGTAGCTCAACAGTTATGCAGTTAAATTCATTATTGTGTGTTCAGTGGAGTAGCAAGTGTAAAACATACCCAGTTTCTACATTGTACATGTGTATCATGTGCAGTGTACATGAATAGTGCACAAACTGATGATACTGCTTTTTACTGGATTAACACCCTTGATGACCCTCTTGTCATGAGTCATATAAACTGACCACTAGAACATGTACCGGTATAACATACATGTGTACACATGTACTTGCACATTCCCTCACTTAAAGTACAGTACCTGTAACTACATGTACCAGTACAGAAGACAAGAAATGTAAGTTAATAGTACAAAGAGTAACAAAGCAAATTGTAAAGCAAGTCAAATATAAAGAAAGAATGTTTAACACAAAGCTGTTTTCCCCTCATCAAAATAAAACAAAAGAAAAGTGATAGACTTGTAGACTTTCTCTCCACTGACCTTACTGACCTGTCATTCAGGATATCCTTGTTTCATTGTCCAAATAAGAATGTTTGACACTTCCTAAGCAATTAGTCATGGACAACAATGAAATGATAGGGGGTGTCCCTTCATCTACTCATCAACTCTTCAGACAAGGAAATGCAGTAAAATCATTCTATCATTATTTTCATCTCCCAAAAGACTGTGCAAAACTTTTTAGGGGAAGTTGTCTCAGTGTACAGGTTTCTAAATATAGTGATCTCAGAAAACTGAAGCACAGTAACACTTTCCTCACTGTACAAATTGCAGTTTCTTGCACTTTCATTTTACATGTACATTACAAGTTTATACATTTGTACTGGTACATATTGGTAAACAAACAAACATATGTGTACAGGTACCTTCATACAAACATGTTTCTCAATGTATCATTTTCATCTGATCCTGTTGTACTAATTTCTTTGAAAAACCTAAATTGTTCATTAAAAAATCCAGTCTGTTTCCCCATTCCCATTTTTTCTCTTGGGGAGGAGTTGGGGAAGGAGGTAGAGTAGAATGCAGGGAAAGGAGTAAGGATGTTTACTATTGATTAACTTGGAAGGTGATTAACAGGGAAAGTAATGAATTTAATGCTGTGAAAACTTCAACTTACAAAGAATCACAGGAGAATGCATTAGTGAGAGTAGATTATACACCCACAGGTACATGTCCATGTGTGCGTACATGTCTTTTACGACATTATAGTGTTTTCTTTACCTTGTATACTCAGCAATTCTGTCAGTTGAAATATTTCCAATTGCCTGCTGATGATACATTCCCCGTGTCTCTGTTGGCGTCATCTCATGAACCAATGCAGACTCCCTCTCAAAAACCTTCTCGCGTACAAAGTACCCAACCAAAAACCCAGCAAGTACTGCCATGGCAAACAGCGACAAACAGAAGAAGAACTGTCTGCGTCCGGCTGTGAATGCATCACATGGTTTCAGATTAGTCTCACCATTCCCGGCTGTAGTGTTTCTGTCACCCCTGGAATATTGGTGGTCTGATGCCCTGCTGCTTGGTGCAGTGGTGTAATCTGGTGTTAAGCTTCCTTGAAGGTGAGCATCTGAGTCAGTTGGATTGCCTTTGGGTCGAGGGGTAGAATGCGCTCGAGCTGGAATTCTGGCAAAATTGGTAACTGGAGTTGCAGGCAGGAAAACATCCCCTTCCAAAGGTTCACACTCCTCTACATGACTCTCCGCTACAATATGATCAGGAGACTGATGTGACAACTCCATGATCTCAATAGCAGAATCCCCACTTGCCATTATGAAGGATTCACTTCTGAGTCTGCAACATAAAATTATACAATTGCTTCTTAAAAATAAGACCACAATCTACATGTATGCCTTGGTTGTGGAACATGTAGGTCCAGACCTAACGGTACATGTACATGTACCGGTATCCTGCAGTGTATTTGACACATTTAAGCGGTTATGAAATGCTTTCGCAGTGGAACTGGCACCCAACTTAACATGTGTAGTGAGCACTTTTGGATCTTACAATTTTTTTTGGGGGGGGGAACCCCTAAAATGTTAGCACTGGGTAATGAACCATGGTCTCCAACTCTTGAGCTAAGCACCATGACCACTTGGCCAAGCACTCACTCAGTCACAAAGAGTGAATTGTCAGTTCCATGCTGGCACTAAAAAACGCCATGTAAATAAAAGCAGATGCTGGCAAAATGTTAGATGTAATTAGTTGATTATGAAATCATGCCAGGCAATTGGCTGATCCTGTAAATAAATACATGAATCCAAATTCTCTGTCAATGCAACCTTTCATAGAAAAGGTGATTGACTGAATGACGGAATTATTAACAAATACATGAAATATCAACCAATCACTGATCACGCAAAGATCACGCAGTTAGACCAAACACACCCAACATACAGCCTGCGTGTACATGTACACATGATACATGTTTACTTATTCAACATTTATTTATTTCAGACAAGAGTTAGGATTGTGAAACAGACTTCAACGTCCAGTATAAAATTCACTCCCCAGATTAAAAACAGAAGCATTAAAAGGTAAGAAAGGTATATGTATATAAGTAAATGTAAAATAAAGGGTAAGTAAACAAAGGAGTTTGAATGTCACATACATGTATACATGTAAATGAATACTACAGTAAAGATGTGAACACACAGGAGATAAACCTACATGTAGGATTTAAATTAGTGATCAACTCACATAATTGGATTTGAATTACAGTACAACTGTACAACCAAACAAAATTATCTCAAAAATGAATAAATAAACTCTTGATTCACTCAAGAGTTTTATGAACGACAGAGGTGAGAGAGATGGGCCTGTGATTAGAAGCATCATCTTTCTTACCCTTTTTATGTAGGGGAACAATGTTTGCCTGGCACCAATCTAGTGGAATAGTAACAGATTTTAACAAAGCGTTAAACAACTTTGTTAGAGAAGGAGCAAGGGTTCCAGTGGCTTCTCTTAAAATAACTGGGGCTATGCCATCTGGCCCATGAGATTTCTTAATATTGAGACTATATTTCCAAATTTTATGAACCTCTGGGACACTACATTGAATATCACTCAACTGCTTATGGCCGGGCAAAACATCTTTTACTGAATTATGATGGAAATAATGTTGGGTATTTTTCTAGATAAATTGTGCATTCAATTATTCAGCAATAAGTTGTGGATCAGTAACTTTGACACCATCTACAGTAATACCTTACACTCAACAGAACCGAATCAGGGGAGTCAGGTTGATGCAGTGTTTCTTTCCTCGCCTTCCACCCCTGGGGCCTGGGTTCGAATCCAGCTCGGTCCACATGTGGATTGGGTTTTCAGTCCCTACTGAGTCCATGGGTTTCCCCGAAACATTTATTTTTCCTCCCACACTAAAACTGAACATTTCTTCATTGCCTTCTGCACACATTATGATCCTGTAATTGGCACTAAATGTGTTGTTGGATGATAGATATGCATGTACATACGAGGTATGTATGTATAAATAAAATCAGAATTACATGCATGATTGTCTTTCTGACTCTTAACATAACAATCCCAAGAAATTTTGGAATTACTTCTTGAACATACATGTACATGTAGTTGATGTGTCTTTGTCTACCATTAGCTTTGATTTCAAATTTTCATGCCTGATACTAGTACTACCTGTATACTACCTGTATACAATGTAGTTCTGTATTCATCCCAATCAGAGGAATTACTATTTCTGACCATTTTAAAAATTTTGTTACACTTCCTCATTAGCAATCTAATTTCCCTTGTAAGCCAGGATTTGCTGGTTGTGGCCTACATTTCCACAGTGTCTTGAAGTACAATGTATGTTCTTCCATACTGACCACAACTTTTCAATGTCCTTGGGATCAATAATGTTCATAATTCGCCTTGTTTTTCCCACAAGCTCTTCCTAAATTCTCTTTTTGTATAATAGGTAAATTTTTCTATTACTCTCTTCACTCATTTCACACCACACTACAAAGTCCATATAACGGCATAGTAGTTGCTTATTCCAGGGATTACATGAACATCAGGGACATTTCCAGAACATAATGTTAGGAGATCAAGAAGACTACTGCTTGTGTAAAACTCCGATTGGCTCATTAATATGCTGGGATAAGATAAACTGCTCTGTAACTGACACAACTTTTTGAAAAAGTTCATTGTTATTAAACTGTACTGGGTAACCATCTTCCCATCATAGTGTAGGCATATTAACTCATCAGTAAGGATAAAATTTCTATACTTGACCCCGTCTTTACTTGGTAACAACAGCAACACAATTCAGTGATTGAAGATACATCGACAGGTGGTCTGTAGGGGTAATCTTACAGATCACCTTACACTCAGTATCTAGATCTAGGCAGTAGTGGATGGGCAAATCATTTTTCCAGGCAATCAAAACGCTACCACCATATTGATTTTTATCCTTCCGAGGGACAGTATAACTACTGGGAAAAAGTTTGCTAGAATATTACTACAGTACATGTGCTAAGATGAGATTCTGTGATACAGAATTAGATTAAATTGGGATCTTCAAATTCAATAATAGCAATTTTATTAGCATTAATGCCACCAGCTTTGTGGCAATCACTTCTTGCATTAAGTGAGATACACTTTAGTTTGTTAATCTTATTTACTGACCTACCTACAGTAGGAGGTTTTGAAGACGTGGCTGATGAAGTTAAAGCAAGCCTGCCAACTGGGGGTCTTGTCGGTGTTGAGTCGAGTACACTGTACCTCTTTTTCCTGGCAGGTTGAAGACGGCAATTCCGAAAACCCTAAGGGGAAGTGGGGTGTAAACAGGTGCCAATCTCACGATGTCAGTAACTCAGTATGTAGGTTAGCAGTGCATGTGTCAAGTATTTACGTCATGATCCCTATTTGACTTGATCCATGAACTGATGAAAGGCCTATATACATGTACATGTAACATGTGCCCATCCCTCAGCAAGGCATTTGGTTGTAGTCTGACAGTATTACAGGCCTTACTTGAAAGGTGTCTGTATGTAAGCCTACATGTACTTGAAGGTTGAAATAAAATAATGAAAAATTGCCTCAGGATGCAAATGATCTACAAAGCTCTTCTATTCACATCATCATGACTCATGGCCTAATCATTTTTAAGGTTATGCAGCAAACCTTTAAAAGCACTGATAGAGCTTCAACTTGATAAAAAATGTTGACAATGGGGGGCCTACATGAGTCTGTCACAGGGAAAAAGAAGAGTTCCATCACTGTAATTATTCCCTACATTAGCCATCAGAAAAAAACGTCCAGAAAAGTTCAATTTAGGAGGAAAATACCCAGTTGTTTATTTAGCAGACCTAAAACACATAACATAAAACACAAACAGCATATATGGAAGTTTTCACACCAGTCTCAAAGGTTCATGCAAGGGGTGTCAAGCAGAGTTGTAATGACTCGACTCAAGTCCGACTCGAGCCACAATTTTTGGTGACTCGACTCCCGATAAGTAAATGACTCAACTTGAGTCTCTGCAACCAAATGAGTCGACTTGAATCCCTCATGGAGCTTCGACTCAAGTACGAATGTGTAAGACTCGAGTTTCAAAAACATTAAAAGCAAACTTTAGTTGGCTAGATACCTGTCATTCCTATCACCCTAGTTCATTTTCAGTACATGTGTACCTAAATGAAATGTAGTTATTTTTGTTGTATTTTGTTCAAAAATTTGTGACTCAAATCGACTCAAGCATTCTCAAGCTCAATATATACTTGACTCCACTACACAAAACTTGACTTCCTGACCAAATGACTCAAGTCACAACATTAAATAGATAAAATGACTTGAGTCACCAAATTTAGTAACTCGTGACAACACTGAT